GCATACTGTCTCAAAAGGGTTTTCAAGAGTTTCCTGGAAGTCTTTCTCTAAGACTGGTCTTGAAGAGCGTTTGTGAGATTTAGACTCTTTAAAATTCCCCTCTCTATAACTGCTTTTGAAGGACCCCTTAAAAAATTTTATGCTTTAAAGGTCTTTACGGAGCCAGAAACTTTTACAGTCTTTGATATTCTCTGACAGCTCTTAAAGGAGTCCTTAAGAGCCTCCAGAGTTTTCTAAATCTCTTCCCGTCTTTACGAGGGTTTTGTGTAGTAGAGGAGCAAGTAGGTTTGGGGTCACCTTTGGACCATGGCAAAGTCTTTCGGCAGTTGATCTGGGGTGCTATATTCCGACGGGGCTGGACGCACCATCTTGGATGTTGGACTGGACACAATGGCGAAAAAGGTACATTACTGAAACAGTTAAGACATTGAAACAATACATAAATTACGCAACATATTATAGAGGGTTATCAAGAAAAGGTGGACCCGGAACATGCTGTAAAATAGTTTTTTTTTTCATCCAAAGATAGAGAAAATGTACATATCTTAATAGGTTGCTATGTTCCTGTGACACGACAGACACCGAAGCTATAATCGACCTCCGTCCCAGGAGGAGGAGGAGTGACAGTTGCATCCCTCTATACATTGCGCTAAAACGTTATTACATAAAAATCGCACACAACTGGTCTATCTATGACAATCGGTTAAGATTGTGCGCGTCAAGATGTGCCTGCGCATGCGCACACTTACAACTTTAAGCTTAGTGCAATGCTGATACTAGTGCTACAAAAACCGTTTAAAGTTCAAAGTTTGATCGCCGTTTAAAGTCCAAAATTTGCTCACCGTTCAAAGTCCAAAGGTTGGTTGCCGGTTTCTCGCTGTTCAAACGTTGCTTATCAAGGTGATGAAGATATTCAGGTTTCTTGAATTAATTTTAATTTAAAGAAAATTGACCTTATTAGTTTGCACGCGCCGGACTTCATCTTCCTAACGCAAACTACTCATTCAGCTTTAAACGTATCGAGATGTAATTTTTGTATTCGACTTATGTATTTTATTTTGTCAGTGTTTCCAACTATCAAAACTTTCCGGGGAGGGGAGTATGGGGAACTGGAGGAAACACGGATTCGAAGCCAATTTTGGTCAAAATTTCTTATGAGTTTCATTCTAGTCATTGTTGTACGCAGGGCCGGACTGGCCCAGGCCGCTAGGCCACCCGAGCGGCCGTGGCCCCGCTGGGATCCTGGACGGGGCCCTCTTTGGGTCAGGCAATTTTTGAAGCATTAATCTTTGTAAATGTTGAGCGTATTTTTAGTTTAAATTTGGAGAAGGATAAATTAATTGATAAATTTGCCAATACGTCATTGGAATTACAGCGCCTTCTCCTTTAACTTAATGTTCAATACTGCTCAGCAAGTTGTTTGAAATGCAATTAAAAAAATCTGCAAATCCCTTGTCTTTTTTTTCGGGGGGGGGCATGAGTTTGGGAGCCTTTTGCTCATGGAGCGCCCGGGGCCCCTACCCACCCAGTCCGGCCCTGGTTGTACGGGGTGGCCAACTAAGAATGTGAGGTACTGTATCTGGGAATCCATCCATCGTAGAGGCTTGCGGTAAAAAAATGTATTACTAAAACGGCCACGAGCAAAACCTGGAAAATATTTTTAACTTTCTGAAATGACCGCTAGGGGGCGCAACTGCAATCTGGAATCTAAAAAAGTGATGTTTCTGTGAATTCCGCTATATTAACCTAACAAAAAAATGTCCGGTCTTTGAAGACGACGATAATCTGAACCTTTTTTGTTTGACAATTGAAGTCGACGATAATCTGAACCTTTTTTGTTTGACAATTATTGCTGTATCTCTAAAAATAAAGTGGTGGGGGTATTCAAAGGTTTCCGTAAAGACCCTGTATCTTCGAAACGGCTGAGCCGATTTAAACAAACTTGGGTTAGTTCAAAAGAGCTATTCTTCAGCTACAAATATACTAAGTTTTGTTAGTTTCACATATCACCGCTTGAGGGCTTTTTTCGACATTCCGACAGAAATGGTTAATTTTCTAAAAAAAATTAAATGCTTTGGTTCGATTTTTTTTCATGAAAAAGTAGCTAAATGATGCCTAAACAAGCTCGCGAAAACAGCATCTCGATATATTGAGATATATATATTTTCATATGGTGATGGCCATCATTTCGAGCATTTACGGCGGCATTAAAAGCTCCCTTTTTTAATTCGATCCACTTTAGGGCCCCAAATTATATAATAAAAATAATTCCGGAAAAATTAGCTTAAAAAAATTAAATTTTGAGGGTATAAAATTTTCTTTGGCCTGAATTTTAGGTTAGGAACAAGATATCGAGATGCGGTTTGCGCGAGTTTGTTTAGGCATCATTTAGCTACTTTTTCATGAAAAAAATCAAACCAACGCATTTAATTTTTTTAAGAAAATTAACCATTTCTGTCGGAATGTCGAAAAAAGTCCTCAGGTGGCGATATGTGAAACTAACTTTTCAATTAACCCGAGTTTGTTAATATCGGTTCAGTCGTTTCGAAGATACAGAGTGTTCTTTACTGAAACCTTTGAATACCCCCCCACCACTTCATTTTTAGAGATACCGGAAAAATTGTCAAACAAAAAAGGTTTAGATTATCGTCGTCTTCAAAGACCGGACATTTTTTTGTTAGGTTAATATAGCGGAATTCACAAAAAAGTCACTTTTTTAGAGTCCAGATTGCAGTTACGCCCCCTAGCGGCCATCTCAGAAACTTAAAAATATTTTCCAGGTTTTTCTCGTGGCCGTTTTAGTAAAAAAATTTTTTACCGCAAGCCTCTACGATGGACAGATTCTCAGATACAGTACCTCGCATTCTTATTTGGCCACCCTGTATTATTTGCACTTGCGCAGTAGGCGGGTAGTGATGTGAAAAGAGGCCAGGCGCATGTGGTCCCGTGAGGTCCCCACGTAGGCTGAGATACATATTCACGGTATTAGTGATCGAAACCTGGTAAACCAGTAAACAGGTAAACGGCTAAACAGGTATCACAAGATCTGTTTTCCCAATAAAAGTAGGCCAAGGTTACAAAAGAGTAAGGTTCAAATTACAACACTCTCCAAGGGCAATGTTTCAAGGGCAAATATTGAGCGGTTAACGAGTAGGTTGCCGCTCCTGCAAAATGGTCGCCGAGACGCCGACTGTTTTTTTATTGACTTCTATCAAATTTTTAAAGCCTTTAAGGTTAGCTTTCACTTTCGGGTATCGTGGTTCCAATCCCAGCGCCAATAAAAAAAATTTTCTGCAGTAATTACCGATGACGCAGATCTAAGGTGGCTGTTTCAAAATAGCAACCTAGATGGCGGGTTTAATAATCGGGTGGCGCGCTCCCATTGGTTGATCACGTAACCACAAAATGCTGTGACGTCACAGAGGGCGGGCTCTAAAGGTTCCTGGAGTGCTTCTATCCGATGTGATACGCTTGGTCCCTGACGTCGGGTTGTTCCCCCTGAGCCAACGACCCCAGATACAGCCTTAGGCTTTGGCGCAGGGCCCGCTTGACCGGGCGCTTCCTGGTCATCGGCTTCTGTATGACGGTCTTGTTCTTCTTGCGAATAGGAGCTGGCCCACCACCAAGTTACCGGACCCCTTTTGAGTAACCGGCTGACGAGGAGCCCAGAAAGTGTTTGTTTGAATTATCGTCCATACAAATCCCACGAGTTCAACGGAAATGCGGTCTCACCTGGGCAGAGTCGCTTGCTCGGAGGTCGCCCGATATCCGAGGGGCATCGACCTTCGTCACTCCCAGCCCGGGTTTACATATACCGGGGGTACAAAATTGAAGTTTATCTCTGGGGTTATAATAATAGGCGGCTATGGAGCGTAGAGCTTGCCACGCTACCTCCATGGAATTCAGTCTTGATACGGGCGAGGTTAAATTCAAATACTATACCGGTGGTAAACAATTGAGGAAGAATTGTGGCCCAAATAGCAGCTAACATTAATTCTGAAAATGATTTTTCTAGAGCGATACAAGGCGCCATCAAGTCGATAAAGGATTATCACCGGCGATAAGGAATGAAATCCTGATTCGATAATTCTATCTAAGCAAATTGAACTGTGTTTCTTCGAAAAGAAGTACTCCGATAGATGGCGATAAATTCCTTTAGGATATTTTTAAATATAAGAATTAAAAATATCTCAGCGATATTTGTATATATAGGTAAGTAAATGGCGTCCTCTTCTTTTAATATTTAAAAATATATCCAAGTCCGTTCTTTCATGTTCCAGACACTTGTAATTACAGGTATAATTAATTAATTAATAATAAGATATGCTTCTTTCGTGGAAAATTAAAATTAAGACGAAAAATGATGCTCTTTCAATTCGCCTACCCTGTCATTGCGTCCGCTCAGTTTTAAGTTGTTTTTCTGTAAACTAAATAAATTTAGATCTTAAATTGTGCATAAAACGCCAACATTCGCAAATTTTACCGGGCCCGAGCGCCAAAGGGAATTAAATGGGTACGTTCACCCACAAAAGAACCATAAGTAACAAACTGCGGCCAGGTGCAACCCTTAGCGAGCGCGGTATACAAGGGGAAGTTATGTACCGGAATCGCATCCAACCTGTAGATTTTTTTTAAAGCAACACCTGGCCGCAGGAGATATAGATGCCCAGGTCAGCTTGCAACAATAAAATTTGTCTAAATGCACCGAAAATTGTGTCCTAAATTTAGGACACGAATTAATTTGGAAATTGAAATTATTCTAATTTAAGCCAGATGGTCCGCCGACGTTTGATAGTGGTAGGTTACCATTCGAATAGAAAATACGGATAAAAGGGGTTAAGGAACTCTCTCCCCACGTCCCCTGCAGTGTGTGTGGTAAAATGCATCGAACAGATGGGGGGCTAAGTCGCCCCGAGGGCTTTTTACCTTAAATGCAAACTACTGCACAATTAGATCTTAATATACAGGGTGGTTCATTTTCATATTTTTTTTTGTTTCAGCTTGGGATAATTTACAGAGATATTAAGTTAGAAAATATATTAGTCGACGAATGCGGTCACATCGTTCTGACCGACTTCGGCCTTAGTAAAGAATTAGCAAGGGACCAAAGTGATAACGAGCAGCAGCGGGCGTACTCCTTCTGTGGAACCATAGAATACATGGCGCCGGAAGTTGTCAGAGGCGGAACTATTGGTCACGATATCGTAAGTTTCTTTTGCATTATAATTTTTTTCCCTCCAGCCTTTAGAACGCGTTTCATCATTGTTTTTATTATTAATAATTCGATAGGCCTTAGCCCACTTTTCCGCATCGATACCCTTGTGATTCCCGTAGCGCTATCGTGGCACGAAACCGACTTGATCTCATTAAAGGGAAAAGCTGCCCCAAATTGTGATCGATTTGGCCCAGATATTGTATAATTGTAATAATTGTGGCAATCGATCGGCAATGTCACAGTTAATCTTTTTATTTATTTAAGCTGGATAAACACTTCCAGTTTCAGTGTCAAAAGCAATTACCGAAAGAGCAATCAATGGTAATGTCATCGTCTGCTTTTTGTTTTTATTGTGGGCGTGGTTTCAGCCAAAGCTACTCCACCAACTTAGCCCACTAACGAACATCCGCGCCCGAATCCGAATTAGAACCTTCAGTTACTCCCCATTTAAAGTGAAATAAATATGAATATTTCAAAAAACAAAAAATTAAAACACAAAAATTAAAAAATAGAGAATTAATATTGGCATTAAATCATATAATTGAAGATGGCAATTTTTGTAATTTTTAGTGAGAGTTTGAGATTGAGTTTAATTTCGGGAATTTGTAATACTAGGATTTTCAAACTTTAGGAGTGAGATTTGAGGGATTTTTTGATTTTTGAACCGTCGGGATTGTGAGATTTTTAGCTTTCGCAGGTTAAAGATTTTGAAATTTTTAACGTTTTGGTACATTTTTTAAGTGTTGGGAATTTGTGATTTCAGAATTTTTATTTTGGAATTGGCGATAATGAGATAATTTGGGAATTTCTGAGATTTTGGTACTTTTAGAATTTGAAATATTGTGATATTGAGATTTTGCAATTTGTGAAGTAGAGATTCTAGAATTTTGAGATTTTAGGAATTTGAGTTTGAGAGTTCGAAATGTTGGGAATTTGAGAAAATGGCATTTTTGAGAGCTTAGAATTTTGATTTTTTATATCTTACATTTCAGACTTTGGTAATTCGAGATTTTTGAGATTTTGCGGTCTGGTAATTTTGAATTTTTTTTAATTTTGGGAATTTAGAAAATTTGAAGCTTTTACTGGCAGTTGCGGTTTTATGATTTTTGATATTGTAAGAATTTAAAATTTTGGTGTTTCCAGATTTTTTTGGGATTTTGATTTTGACATTTTGGGATTTTGCAATTGTGTTGTTCAATTTGGATCAGTAGAAGAGGTGTCGTCTCACTCATATTGAAGTTGGCTCGACGCATGCGCCCACTTTTAATGAAGTGAATTTTATGTGCTTTCTTAAGATGGATCAATGGCATACACACCGAATACCAGTAAAATCGAGCGAAAGTTAGTTCTACGCCTGCACGCCACCCATATACAGTATGTATTAGTTATATATATACTTGTTGATCCAAAATGAGTTGAGTAAGAGTAAATGCGGTTCTGATTTTGAAATTCACACAAAATTACGCAATCCGTCGGTAAGCAAAAATGTATGTAATTTGAAAGTGTTATCTGCACATAAATAACTCTTCTAGTTTTCAGGGTTCAATTCCGTGCTGCGATTGATCGTTTTCGATATTTCGCAACTGCTGTCGCGTAATTCTAGTTAATTTCCTTTTCTCCCACGATTTTCTGGGGTCGCGTCGCCAACTTTCGCACGCATTTAACTCGACGGGGTTGTACTCAGAAACCTTCCGCTCAAATAAAAAATCTAAAAAAATTTAGTAAAAAAAATCAATTGAAATCCGCTAAGGGGCTCCCGTTACAATCTGAGTCGGTGGCATAAGTTTCAGGGCACGAGATCAGTGTGTAATAAAAAAATTATCAAAGTGCTCGTGTGCGATCGAAAGGGATTCAGTGCCTTTTTGGTGTGGCAGCTCATTTCTCTTCCCAAATTCCACCTCTTAGCGGACTGTATAGATTCTAAATTTTCTTGTTTCTAAAATTTCAAATTCCGAATCGTATTTCAAATCCAAAAAACACAATTTCTCTAAAAGTCTCAAATTCCTAAAAGCATCTTAGGGACCTTTAAAAACCGTATACTTTCTAAAATTTCAAAATCCCAAAATCTCCAATTCCTGAAATTAAAAATTCCACCATCTTTAGTTTCCAAAATTTGAAAAATTCCAAAAAATCCAAAAACTAAATTTCCCAAATTTCAAATTCTGACAATTTCAAACCAAAAATCATCAATTTCTCCAAATATCAAATTCCACCTCTTAGTGGGCTTTTTATAGCATCTAACAGGCCATTATAAATCGTATAATTTCTACAAATTCAGAATCTCAAAATCTTGGATTTCTGAAATTGAATAAATAGTTCCAAAATCTCTAGTTTAAAAATCCCAAAAAATGCAAAATATCTAAATTCTCAACATTTTAAAAATCTCAAATTCCAAAATTCCACCTCTTAGAGCACAAATCTTTCAAAATTTTCAAAATCTTAAAATTCCCAAAAATCCAAATTCCATTATTTCAAGGATCTCAAATTCCGAAAATGTCAAACCCAAAAATCTCAATTTTTTAAAATCTTAAATTCCACCTCTTAGTGGGTCTTTAAAATCTTATAATTTCTAAAATTTTAGATTCCCTAAATCTCGAATTCCAGAAACTTAAATATCACAGCATTCCAAATGTTTCAAAAATCCAAAATCTAAATTCCCAAAAATTCCAAATTCCCAAATTATTAGACTTTAGAGCATTTGACAAGCCTTTAAAAACCATATAATTTCTAAAATCTCTTAATCCCAACATCTCGAATTCCTGAAATTTAAAAAACCACAAAAGTTTAAAATTTCTAGTCTTCATAAATCTCGTTTCCAAAATCTAAAATTTTCAAATTTCACTTTTTAAAAAACCACAAAAGTTTAAAATTTCTAGTCTTCATAAATCTCGTTTCCAAAATCTAAAATTTTCAAATTTCACTTTATAGCATTTAACGGATCTTTAAAAAAAAGTCTGGAATTCTTTAAAAATCACATAACTCCAAAATACCAAATCTAAATTCTCAATATTTAAAAAAATCTCAAATTCCGACAATTTCAATCCCAAAAATCTCAATTCCTCTAAATCATAAATTTCCAAATTCCACCTCTTAAGTGGGCTATATAGCATCCAACAGGCCTTTAAAACCTTATGATTTCTAAAATTTCAAAATCCCAAAATCGTGAATTCCTGAAATTTAAAAATCACAATATTGCAGAATTTCTAATTTCCAAAATTTCGAAAATCCCAAAAAAATAAATCCA